ATGCCTGTCACTGGTTATAAAAGATTCCTCACTGAAGATCGTACAACCCTAAACCATTAAGCATCCAAACAAACAATTACAATAAGTTGACATAAGTATAGATCTCCAATTTTAACAGCCAGGAGGCAGATTTAGCTTCTTTCTCATTAAAGTTCAAGGCTTATCGAGCTAGAAGTCTTCTATCTCTTTTACAGAAAATAAATCTGTCTGCTTCCTGACATGTAAGTTAAAGTAAAGCAGTTGGAAGATTTGTTACAGGTTTAAAAGCAGAGTCTGCAGCAACTGACTTAAAAATACATAGATGATCAAAGGATACTGTCAGTTTAACTATAGATCTGTCTTGTTTAGAACAACTGGGTTTTAAGCAATAGAAAGTGTTTTTCTAACCCAGTCAAGCTTACCTATGTACAGTGGTTGGTAGGACTTGCCATTTTATTTTCTTTAATTTGGCATTAAAGCTGGTATCATTACTTCTCATTTGGTGCAAACCCCCTGTAGCAGCAGAAATAGGACCTTTCTTCCTTGAAGGCATAGATTCACACTCAGCTAAACCTCCTGATAAGGCCACAACCATGAAAAATAAAGTAAAATAGAAGAAGAGTGAAAAAAAATTGAATAATAAAGCAAATAAAATGCAGGAGCAAACAAGTTCCACACTCTGCATCAAAAAAGCCACAGATCATCAGGAAGAAACTGAAGGCAAGCAAGCATTTAAATGTGGTTTGACAAATTGTGAGTGAATAACTTCAACGAACTACAGCTACTTAACTAACATATCCCTTAGATGATCTGTTTTACTTTGCAGATCGTGTCATAATTATCCAGAGAGAAGATCTGTTAAAGTATTACCTGTTATTGGCAAGGAGAGGCTTTGATGAATGAATACATCAGATATTTAATAAAAAGATTTCCACTGGAGGGTGCTTCAGGATTAGCTTAAGGTATAGAAACATTGGAACAGGAGTAGACCATTTAGCCCCTTCAGCATGTTTCACCACTCAATGATATCATGCCCAATCTGTGGCTGAACTCAATTTGCCTGCCTTTGAACCATATCCCTTAATACTTTTGCTTAATGAAAATGTATCTATCTCAGATTTAAAGTTAACAACTGATCCTACATTCACTGCCATTGTGGAAGAGAGTTCCCAACATCCACTACCCTTTGTGTGTAGAAGTGCTTCCTAACCTGATGATTGACAGTTATCTGCTAGGCTTTGTTTAGATTCCTGAATACTTTGGCCCTAATTCTCAGACTCCGACGCCTAGTTCTCGTATCCCCAACCAGCAGACATTGTTTATCCTTATCTACTTTGTCCTTTCCTGTTAATATTTTGAAGACTTTAATAAGATCACCCCTAAATTCCAGGGAGATCAGGCCTAATTTGTATATTCTGTCCTCATAACTTAACCACTGATGTCTAGGTATCATTCTTGTAAGCCTATGTTGTAGTCCCTCCAAGGCCTTCCAATATGTCCTTCCAAAGGTGTGGTGCTCAGATTTGCTCACCCACATGGGGTCTAACCAGGCTTTTATATAACTGAAGCATAACTACTGCATTCTTGTAATCCAGTCCTCTAGATATAAAGGTCGGCATTCCATTAGATTTCTTGATTATGCTTTGTGTCTGTTTCTGACATTTTTCAGATCTATGTACCTAAACCCCAAGTCTATGTATTTAACTTCATACCATCTAGAAAGTGCACAGATTTTTCATCTCCTTTTTGATCAAAAATGGACAACTTCATTGTTCTAGGAATCACTTCTAGGTTAGGAGACTTCAACCCATATCATACAGACAAAAACAGCAAGAATCTTCTGATGAATTTGTTGCCGAATGTCACAGCAAATGCCATGAGTGTGATTTCTCTAAAGAAGAACTCACAGAGAGGCAAATTGAATTGGGAATCACCTCTACTCCATCAAAACCTTAAGGAAAGACCCAAGTGTAACAAAGAAAGGGCTTTCTGGAGGATGGGTGCCAGTATAAAGCCATATGCCGCAGGCCAATAATAATTACAAGCTTTGGGTGCAGGCAACATTATTGCTACCAAAGCTACATCAAGCTAGAGATCTGTCTTAGATGGGGTTTGTTACATCTACCCAAAAGCTTTTCTGGCAATTCTTCACATATACAGAGCATGTGGCACCCAGGGACACTGAAACAAGGTATTTTGCACTTGCATGCCCAAAAGGGCTATGCCAAGATCTCAGTGTATTTGGTGTACCAGAGTGGAATGTATCTGACAATAGACTGCAGTTCACTGGGAAACCATTCAAAGATATGTGCACTGAGTGCTGATGATACATATCACATTCTCACTCTGCTATCAAATAGTCTAGCTGAATGTACAGTACGTTCCATCAAATCCATGCTCATCAAGAGTTGTGCAACAAGACAAGATTTTCACATTTTTCAATATTTTCATGCAACACTGATGAAGAAGAGACCACTATTCCCAGCACTACTTATGCTTGGAAGACAAGAGCAAATGACCTTGTCTAGAAACTAATTGGCAAACCATTTGGAGATACAAGACATTGTTCTTTAACAACACAGGAGAATAAAAGAGATGCATGACTAGCAAACAGGTAGTGAATTATCGTAACCAGACACTGGACAGTGAGTGAGGCAGAAATCCAGTCAGCAATATTAGGATACCAGCAAAGGTCCGTAAGATATTCAACCAGCCCAGGCCATTATGAAGTCATTGTCAATCATATGCTCCATTGTGAAGGAACAGACGCCAGCTCAGATTAATTTATAATATAACAAACATGCAAGAAGAGAGCGAGGAAGAAAACTCCAATGATTATAATTGTGCAAAACAATTATGCAACAGTGGCAAAACAACTAAGTTGTCAGCCAAAAGTAACTGAGAATAACACCTACCTCTCAAGATTAGTATAAAACTACCAAATCAGGATGTATTGTCAAACACTTCAATATAACATTTTAGTTTGAATTATTAATCTTGTTAACTCAACTTTTAAATGTCGCTATACTTGTTGAATTGGCAACCTCTGCCAATGTTCAATGATGCAGACCTGCTCAAAACTATTTTCCTTTGGAAAAAGGGAGGTGTTATGTAATGACTTGCAGCAAACATGAAATACCTTTAAGTGACATGCTCATGATATCATCACTGTATCACGGCGAGTGACCTAATGGGACAAAGCTCTCAGACTTCATCCTATTGAGTTCTGTTCTTCTGCAACATGACACAGCAAGGGAATTGCTTGTGCCCAGATGACACACAAGTGCCTTTGGAACAAAAACAGACCTGTTGAGCTTTTCCAGCAACTTCGGTTTTTGTTCATGATTTACAGCATCTGCAGTTCTTTCGGTTTTTCACAAGTGCCTTTGATTGTAGTCCACATATGTAAATACCAGAAGCTGCTATAAAGGTTCACTGAATTCTTCAGTAATATGTGACCCACGTCTCATTCATATTTATGTTATGGGAGTTAACATAAGTATCACTGTGTGATAGTTGCAAGTCATCAGCTGTCAAGCCTTACCATCACATCACTGATCTATCTTAGCAGCATCCTGCAGGCTCTGTTTACCTTGGCATGGTTCAATGAATACTGCTTTTGGTCAAGCTGACAACTTCAATATGCACTAATGTGAGTGGACAACTGACCTAAGCCAATGTGCTTTCAGTTATTATTAAACAGCATTGCATACACTTCACAGCTGGAACTATCAAAGCCAAAATGACTAAGATAACAGCCAAGCTGGAATAAAGTTTCATTCAGGTTCAAAAGATAAACAACATTGCAAGATGAATAATCTCTTGGGATTAATAAATATCTGATTAAGATGATGAAAAGATCAGAGACTCAAATCAGAAATTGAGGCACAAACTGATCAGGTGACGGATGGGTCATGTGACCTGGCTAATATTATTTGCTTGACAGGGAGCTCTCCAATTGCATTGGGAATCAGACAGCCCAGCCACATCATGCATACAATTTTCACCCAGTCAGTCATGGCCTGTCCAGAGAAATGAGGAACCTCTTAAAGCTATACTGTGTAACATGCTGTAATTTTTTTAACTCAAGAATTGTGGAGTTATTGTGGCATTAGAGACATGTGGGAGGGATAACCTCCTATTTTTTCACACTTCTCTGGAGATCTGGTGGACATGGGTTTAAGGAGTAAAATAGTTGCAGTGTTATTTGCAAAACCACAGTCAGGAAACACAGAAGGAGGTAGCTGATGGGACCAATGTCTGCAGAATCTAAGACCTAGGTTCAGAATACACAAAGTTGGTCAATCATAGCACAAGTGGAATAAAATCAAATCCATCTTTGCATCTGTCCATATCTCTATGGCTGCCAATAACATGCAGTCAACCCCCACCCTTTTGGACAGACCACACTAGATATTCACAAGGACTCATGACAACAACTCACATAGCAGCAGCAATAACAGCCTCTAATAAACTCACAGATAAAATATGGATGGGCGGCAGGATATTGGTAATATTCTGTTACGCAATCTATTTTTATTTTACCAACCTACCTATCAGAAAGTCATTAAAATTGAGCTGTACAGTGGGCCTTAACTGTAGCTTATAGATGTCTGATCTGATTTCTCCTTTCAACACTGAGAATACTTGTATTTCTAAATTGACCTGTGGTGTTTGGTCGATCATGACTGAGTATGCTGAGTTTGAAACAGTTCAAAAGTTTTCCCGAACAAATTTCATAGCTCAGCTCACTCTAATTGTTTTTTCTTCATATCTCCCAATAATTGAGATCACTGAACTCTGATTGGACAAACAGGACTAATGTTTCTTGTCCCTTTCCTTCTACAGCCAATGACTATTCAGCATGGAGTCAGGGGCATGCCATAGTAAAGAGGGAAAAATTCTAATAGGGTGGAGGAAAAAAAAATGTAAGAGTGAATTGGTCCAGAATGTGGCTATATAGATTTTTTGTTCTCAACACAATTCTGGATCAATGAAACACAATGAAACATAACCAGCTTTCCCTGGTGGTCTAATGGTCAGAATTCAGCATTCTCACTGCTGCGGCCTGGGTTCGATTCCCAGTCGGGGAATAAAAGCCCCACTCTATTAGTTTGGGGGTGGCATGGTGGCTCAGTGGCTAGCACTACAGCCTCATAGCACCAGGGACCTGGGTTCAATTCCACCCTCAGGCAACTGTCCGTGTGGAATTTGCACATTCTCCCACTGTCTGTGTGGGTTTTCTCTGGGTGCTCCAGTTTCCTCCCACAGTCCAAAGACATGCAGGTTAGGTGGATTGGCCATGCTAAATTGCCTGTAGTGTTCAGGGATGTGTAGATTAGGGGGATGGGTCTGTGTGGGATGCTCCGAGGGTCAGTGTGGACTTGTTGGGCTGAAGGGCCTGTTTCCACACTGTAGGGATTCTATGAAATAATGCACAACTTGTGTGAACAGCTAGAGAAGGATTTGGAATTAGTGACAAGGGTAAAGAAATTTGATAGGCAGTAAAAGGAAGACCTTTCATTTTCCTAAAGCTCAACCTTATGAATTTCTGCTTCATTCATCATAATGTTAGAGAGGCAATATGACAGAAAATAGATGATTGTGGTGTTTTCAGTCAACTGTTGGAGAGAGATGAACAAATGAAAACTGATTAAGTCAACCATTATTAGTGTCATGAAGAATGTTGTAGTCCATCAACAATAATTTCTCCATGACCCAAGCTCGTGACCTATTCAACAATTGACCTATTGAAAATATATTGGTTTAATAACTATTTGTAGAATACTGTAAATGGCAAACAAGAAAATTACATTAAATGATACAACTACAGAGTGATTAGTTACAGATTTTTAGGCTGCCTGTGGATTTCCATTCTTTTTGAGAAGTCTAACTTTGAAAGGTGGAAAACTTTATTGTCAGCTGCTTTAGGCTTCATGTACTCAACTCCTGTTCTTCAGTCATAAATTGCCCCATCATTCTAGCTTTGTTTTATCTGAATCTGTGATCCCAACACTTCAGCAATGCGAGTAAGAGTCAAATATCTAAGCATGTTGTAGCTAAGACTGTCCTATATGCAAGTGGTTTGCAATGATGCTCTTGTAGATCTCTTACAGCTAGCTTTCTGGATAAGGGTCACTTCTTGGCCTAGAATTTACAGCTAAGGGAAAGTCAGCTTTATGCTAAGCTTCCTTTGTCAGATAGTTCCAAGAAGAAGGTTCCATTCCCACTCCAATTGCTTTCAACCTAAACTGTTAAACACAGTCCACAGAAATACCCAGACATTTAAACCATTTTAATATATCATAATGGGTATTGTTAGTGTAGCTATAGTTAATGTCTATAGGGACAGATGGTAACAGAGTAACACAGGGAAGACAACAATAGACCCTTGTTATATTCTAAGATGACTGTAGACAATGAAGGAAGAGTTTTTTCTGGAGGTATGTGATTATGTTGAAATTGGATAAAGACACAAAAAAGTTTGTACCATAAGTTGGGAGAAGTTAAATGCTGCATGCAGATTGGAAACGGCAGATAATTCATTGCCAGTTGTTTCAGTCAATAACCCCTAGTATCTGATGGAAGCCCACTAACTGAATAAATGCTGTGCCTCTTAGCACCTGAGACGCCAAATCAACAGGAAGTTAATGTGCTCGCCTCACATACAAGCAGAGTATCAGTTACTGCTTTGATGCAGTTGTGTGCAGCCGACTGTGATATCCAGCTAAGTCTTTCCTATCAAGCCCTGGAAAGAGCTTGACATTTTTACATAGACTCTCTGTCATTAATCCCACAGTGTCTCCCTTGAACACAGCTCCCACCATACTTGCAAGGGGGGAGATCAGGGTGGTGGCTGCCCATTTGAAACTGCAGCTGCCTTCAGCCAGGACGGATCTTTGTCAACTAGGTGTGATAAACATGACTAGTACAGATTAGACCTGGTAAGAATAGGTCAAAGTGTTGTAGAGATGCTCGAATTTCTTTTCAAAGAGGTGCAGAAAGATATTTGGAAGATGCAGGGAAGTTGCATTAACTACTAAAGAGCTGGCAAAACTCAATCACCAGTGTCTGGCTTTAACCCAAGGGAATAGGCGGGTGCAAAATAGCAATTGGCAGCACATTTTTTCATTGTCCCTACTGACACAAGTACACAGGTACCAGGAAGGAAAATGTATGAAAGAAGGAAGCATTATGCATTTTGTGCCCAACGAAAGGTTAAAATGGCATAGAAGCCTCAGACATATGTGCTATACTCACATGTGAACATGGCTCCAGGCCAGCAAGTAGGACCAGTGCCCCAAGCACTTCAGTAAGGACAAAGACAAGAAGGAAGACATCCAGGTATTACCTGTGGAACAGGTGTATGGCCTCAGAATTCATACCTCAACATGACTGAAAACCAACATTGAGAATGATGGAGATTAAATTGAGAAGTCGGCATCAACATTTGTGGCATGATACAGCACCATCTTGAATCCTAATTTATTGATTTCCATGCCCTGCCTGTGGCTGTAGAGGTTTCTGTGACTTTGGATTTTGATGTATCCATCTCTTTCCAGAGCTAAGTGGGAGAATTAGTTGGGAGATCACGGTCAGCTGTAAACAGCTACAGCAAGCCTGTAATCAATGCCCTGTTTGCAAATGTTAACCTGCTGGCTGATTTGAACTTTTAATTGTGGACCAGAATAAGAAAAAAAGAAGGACTGTTTTAAAACCAAGGATTGTGGAAGGATTTGCTGTACTTTGAAAAACAAGTTACTAAAGTCATAGTGTGTTTACATTGTTCAAGCAGTGGCGAAGATGTTTGTTACAGCCTGGTACCAGGGAATGCATGCAGACTGACATTTGGCTGGCAACAAGTAGCTAATTAGTTTAGGTCATCAACCTGATGACAACTGTCTGGTACTTGAGTGTGTGTGTGTGTGTGTGTGTGTGCGCGCGCGCGCGTGTGTACCTGGATACCTGGAGAAAGGAGGTCAAAGAACAAAAAGACTTGGCAAGCAAAAAGAATATCTCAACTGAATCTGTGGATTCCATTTCCAAGATTTGACTTCCTTCCACCTATATAACTGAAGTATTTTCATTTATTTCTCTGTGTCTGTCTCTGTATGTGTGGAGGGGTTTTTAAAAGGAGTTAGAGTTTTAGGTAGCTGAACCATTTGTTGATCATTCATATATGCTTACTTGTGATTAGAATTTGTTTCTTTGTAATAATGAATAGTTCTTGTTAAGTACAGGAACCTGGTCACTTTTTTACTGTTGACCCGATCCCGACAGATATTTGCATTTGGGACTTTACGTACTTTGATAAGAATGGTTAAGTTCTACAATGATCCTGGGAGTGTTGGGGCCTGAGAATCATTGCCCTTTCCCAAGTGGGTCAGAACAAGAGATACAGAAGCAGGCTTCTATCACATACTGGGGGTTATCAATTATGTCACCATAAAGACTTCAAATCAGCACCTAGACACATTCAGAAACTAAAAGTCCTTTCACTCCCTTAATGTTCAAGTGGTTTATGACCAAAACAAGTTTTTCCTTCAAGTTTGTGCCAAAGATCTCTTGGTAGTTGCCATAGCAGAATTCCCAGGTTGCTCAACATTTTCAGCCATCTACACAGATCCCTAGCTTGCTTCTGAGCAGGACAAGAGGTACCCCTTAAAGAGTTAACCAATCACCTTGTTTAAGTGGCTGAAAACTGAGCAGGAATAGAATTACAACAGCAGTCATGTCGTCACACAGAGCACAACAGCAGGCTACTAGCATTCTCAAAATGTACACCAGATGCCTTGACCACTCAGGACTTGCAGGATTTCCCCTGCAAGGGTTTTCAGAATAGTAGTGGTATGCTGCACTCTGCACAAATCAAAGGAAAGATGCTGTGAGCAGCTGTGGAGGAGCTTGATGATGAAGATTCTGTTCTCAGGAACCTGACACAGGGGACAATCAGGAAGGAGGACGGTAGCAGAGAAGCTGGGAGGCATGCCCACATATCCAGCGCTGACGCTGTGCAGAAAGGGCTCACTGCCAGACATATCCTAGCACAAAACAAATTTACACGGTGCACTCAGTTCTGGCAGATAGGTGCCAAGGACTATTTGTGTATGTGCAGATGATCTCCATGACATTAGTCGGCCATGCATGACTGGAGCCTGTTATGCCAGTAAGCCAATTGTACGTGCGGTTGACATCAACACAAATACCAGCTCCCCTTCACAAGTTTGCAAGAAAAGCAGCCAGTGAAAGAACCAGCAGCCAAAAACAATTATTAACAAAAACAGCAGTCCAGAAAACCAAAAACCGCTGGCAAAAGTAAGAAAAGCAATAGCTACTAAGAAGGCAGCGATGAAGAAGCCCAAGCACAAGATCAAAAATACTCAAGCCAAAATCAAATCAAAACTAGCAAGAACTAAGAAAGCAGCAGCCAAACAGAAATGATTGCAAAGTCTGAACTCAAAGACTCTTCTCCAAATTGCCACATCTATCTGAACAGAACTGAACCCACAATAAAATGATACCTGTCCCACAGTCAATAACATTAAGTAAATCCTTACTTTCTCTGTGAGTAGATTCATTGAGAGGCTGTGATAGTGTAACATCAGCAGATAAAGGCCATGTACAGCTTCAGTCTTACCACAGGAGATTTCCCCAGACAAATTTAATCGTTGTTTGTAAGCTGCTGGAACAGTATGTGTATGAGAATGGTGATATTATTGAGGATGCACTCCTTCTATAGAATGCATAGTGTCTAGCTTGACATAGTGTTTGTTTGTTCAACGGTGGCTCATTGGTTGACACTGCTGTCTCACAGTGCTAGGGACCCGGGTTTAATTCCACCCTCAGGCAACTGTGTGTGGAGTTTGCACATTCTCCCTGTGTCTGCATGGCTTCCTGCCAGGTGCTCTGGTTTCCTCCCACAGTCTAAAGATGTGTGGGTTATGTGGATTGACCATGCTAAATTGCCAATAGTGTGCAGGAATGCATCAGTTAGATGTGTTTGCCGTGGGAAATGTAGGGTTACAGGGAAAGGGTAGGGAGATGGTTCTGGATGAGATTCTCTTTGGAGGATCGGTATGGACTTGTTGGGCCA